ATTCCTGGAAAGACTGCCGGGCACGGGGATACCGGATACCCCATTTGGAAAGGAGTATGTTGTCAAACCTCCAAGTTCTGATGTCTTGCTGCGGACTACCTTGAAGGGGCTTGATATAAGTTATGATATCTCCCAAGCTTCCACAGCTGCTTCTATTACGCTACAGAAGTTCGTGTTTGGCTATGCCAAAGAGAATATACTCTCCTTCGATGCCGACCTGCAGATGAGAGAATCTGTCAGAGACCTAGCAGCTACAGCCGGTGTTGATGTATCCGTCAAAATGTTAAAAACGCCAGACACTAGTCGCTACAGCATTTTTACTCTGCCCATACACCTATCCATCAACCTACAGAAGCTTGACGAAACATTCAGCTGGTTTGGTGGCCTAAGTAGTGTTCTGAACATGACAAGCTCCATGGCATCAAGCGCTACGATGACAACCTCGAGCCCTGCTAAGACAAAACCTCGAGGCGTAAGATTTGATGCCCCGATAATGCCAGACGATGAGTCAGTGTCGTCACAGACCAAGGTCGATGCCCGAATTGCCGGTTTTGTACTGGATCTTATTGGTAAAGACTGCAGCGTTGGTCTCGATACGACAGCCGTAAAAATTGTTAGCCGCGATGAGGGTATTGCTGTTGTCATTGACCAAACGAAGATAACGGGACCTCATCTAGCTACCTTTTTCGACGACGAGCCCGCGATTCGCGCAGAATTAACTGGAATGCGACTGGAATATTTGGAAACGCCAAAAAGTGCTGATCTTGACCGCCTGTTAGCTCTGATTACGCCGTCAAAATCAAAGTATGACCGAGACGATGATATCTTACTTGAGACTCTTCTCCGGCAACGGAGACAAGGGGCCGTTCTCCGAGTAAACATAGATCAGTTTAAATCTCGCGTTGCACATCTGGAACAGCTCAGGTATCTGCCGGACCTGGGCGAAGAAGTCTCCAAGCTCTCGACAGTAGCTAAATACTTGCCTCAAGATGATCGGCCTGGGTTTCTCTCACTTCTCTTGGTCAAAAAGTTCGATCTGAAGGTGGATATTAATAGAACTGTGGGCAATTTCCAAGCACGGGCAACGGATATCGAGGTTGCTCAAATAAACTTGCCAGCACTTGTGGCTTTGTCAATGGATACTTTCACCGTCAACCGAAACGATACCGAGGAAATAATATGTGCTGCCACGACCGTGGCAGCTAAAGATCGATCGCCCGCAATCATGGCACGTATGATCGGCGACGAAATGGAACCAGTCATCAAACTCAAACTCTGGAATCTGCGATTGGAGTACAATGTTCCAACCCTTATGACGCTTCTCGGCCTCAAAGTTAATGCTACCACGGAAGATATGGCTACTGGCATTGCTGCTTCTGTTGCTACGTTGACGGACCGAAAACAGATATCACTCGCAATGCAGCGTGGCGAGGCCAAAGGAAAGGGACCGAAAAGCCAAGAGTCGAAGGCATTGACTGTGGATGTTGCAATCCGAGAATGTATTTTGGGGTTGAATCCTCTAGGACTACCATCAAAGATTCTAGTGGTGATGACTGAAGGCCATGTCTCAGCAGTGCTCCCAGAAGACAACAATACAAATGTCACCGCGGAAATGGGGAAAGGCTCGTTGGTTGCCATCGACGATGTTGCAAATATCATAGCACCAACTCTTGCGAACAAAAGCAGGAGGCAATCTTTCGATGGGGGGAGCTCGCAAGTCGCCGATCTATGCTCGCGTGGATTTGTTTGTCTTGGATATGTTGCGTCTGCCAAAGCAATTGTACGGGTATCAACAGGAAAGAAGCCGGGTGAGAAAAATATTGATGTTGAGTTGCGCGACGAGCTGTTTGTTCTGGAAACTTGCGCCGATTCTACACAAACGCTTATTGCTGCGCTCGCTGCGTTGGCGCCCCCATCTCCGCCTAGCAAAGAAGTCAAATACCGCACCAAGGTCATGCCGATGCAAGATCTTCTTGCCTCATTCACCGGAGACGCTTTCGAGAGCAACAACCTTACGGGAGATTTTAACTTAGACGAGGAGTTTGGAAGCCGCCTTGGGAGCGATATCAGCGACAACTCGAATCTCGAATTTGACTCTCAGTATTACGCAAGACCAGTCGGCTCATTACGAGAAGATAGTCCAGGCGAGTCATCCCAACACGGCTCGCTGCTTTTCGACCAATACAACAACCCAGACCAAGATACAGACGATGGCGTCCTCCTCGAAAGCTTCTCGTCCAAGCAACATGTACATATAAATGAAGAATTGGATTTTAAGGAGGATTACTTCGGCAACGGTTCCATGGTGGAAGGCACAGCGCATCGGTGGAATTCTGCAAAAAACATGTACGACAAGTCGGATACTTATAAAGTACGGGAGAGCCCTTTGAAAGTTTGTGTACGGGATGTGCATGTAATTTGGAACTTGTTTGATGGATACGACTGGCAGGCAACACGAGACACAATTACGAAGACGGTTCAAGATATCGAGTCGAGAGCGAGTGATACGCGCACACGTAAGGACAGACGCTCTACGGCCGTTGAATTGGATTTCGAAGAGGAAGAAACCGTCATTGGTGATTTCTTGTTCAACTCCATCTATATCGGGGTTCCTGGTAATAGAGATCCAAGGGAACTGGCTGCAGCTATCAATCGAGAGCTCCATGATAACGCAACGGAGACCGAGTCTTTAGCGCCGACGACGGTTTCAGCTTCCCCCAGCCGGCAGGCTGGACCACCCAGAGTTAAAGGGAAGCGACTTCGCCTTAATAGGAGCAAGCATCACAAAATCACCTTTGAGCTCAAGGGCGTCAATGCGGATGTTATTGCATTTCCGCCTGGATCCGGTGAAACTCAGAGCTCAATCGACATTCGTGTTCATGACTTTGACATCTACGACCATGTTCTAACTTCTACGTGGAAGAAATTTGCCACTTATATGCACGATGCTGGCGAACGTGAAGCAGGTTCGAGCCAAATCCATATTGAGCTACTCAACGTGCGCCCTGTTGCCGAACTCGCCGCGTCTGAAATTGTGCTTCGGGCCACTTTGCTTCCACTTCGACTGCACGTCGACCAGGATGCTTTGGATTTCATAACTCGTTTCTTCGAGTTTAAGGACACCTCAAACACATCGTCTAGCGGTCCATCCGAGCCTCCTTTTATCCAGCGCGCAGAAGTGAACGATGTCCAAGTCAAGCTAGATTTCAAGCCAAAGCGCGTTGACTATGGCGGCCTCCGCTCTGGACATACCACAGAATTCATGAACTTTATAGTTTTGGATGAGGCGAACATGGTGCTTAGACACACGATCCTCTATGGTGTATCTGGTTTTGACAGACTAGGCAAGATGCTGAACGATGTTTGGATGCCAGAGATCAAGCAAAACCAACTTCCAGGAATCCTCGCCGGTCTAGCACCCGTACGAAGCCTTGCAAACTTCGGAGGCGGCGTAAGGGACCTAGTTGAAATCCCCGTCCGTGAGTACCGGAAAGATGGGCGGCTGGTGAGGGCTCTTGGTAAAGGAGCCGCAGCCTTCGCCAAGACGTCAGGCACGGAACTGATCAAGCTTGGTGCTAAACTGGCAATTGGGACGCAGACTGTGCTCGAAGGCGCGGAAGGCGTACTGGGAGTCGCTCCAACCCAGCACCACCGCACTGGGGGAGACTGGGACAACGATGGAGACTCTGACTCCGATGAGCCGCGGCTGGTCAGTCTGTACGCTGACCAACCTGTAGGTGTGGTGCAGGGCCTGCGCGGTGCATACAAGAGCCTCGAGCGCGACCTCGTCATGGCGCGAGACGCGATAATTGCAGTTCCAGGCGAGGTTATGGAGAGCGGGAGTGCGGTTGGTGCGGTCAGGGCGGTGGGGCGGAGGGCGCCGACAGTGATTCTGAGGCCGCTTGTGGGGGGGACGAAGGCGGTTGGGAAGACGCTGTTGGGGGTGGGTAATTGGGTTGATCCGGGGAATTTGAGGAGAGTTGATGATGTTAGTTTTTTCCCCTGCCTTTACGCTACTGTTGACCAAGGGAATACTAACTGGTAATAGAAATACAAACGGCATTAATACTTGCCTGTCGGTAACGAATGGAGGTTATGATTGAGCGAAGGGGGAAGCGTGCATGTTGTTTTGAGCGAATTAAATTGCATGGAATATTGGAGTTTAGATGGCGTTTGGGAAGGTCATTATGAAGGGACTGAGTGCGTGGTTTTATATTTCACCACTTCATGAACTGGTGCCTGCGTGTCTATGTGCGGCTTTTTTGGTAAATTGAGCCAGTGGGAAATGAGTATAATTATTGGGCCCCTTTTGCATCCCAATGCTCTGAACCGCCTTTCTCCCAATGACCCCCTGATAAGCCGGGGGAATCATCCGCTTTGCATCAGAGAATATTTACTGGGCGATGTTTTAAAATCCGTATACATCTTTTCTTTTGACGTCACGGCTTCTGGGCCTATATTTAAATCAAGCTTGTAAGAAATGGAAGTTGGCCCTCTCTCATCAACCAAGGAGAAACGAAAATCCATTCAGTTGGGGCGTTAGTGATGATAAGTTTGACGTCTGCAATCACCTATAGCCCCCGTAGATTATAGTCCACAACATAACCTGGTCAAGGTAATGGCGACAGTGAGAGTTTCAAACGGTGACATTAAAATTACGGCAGGTAAGAGGCGGCGACGAGAAGCAAGTCTTGGTGGTGTTGGCAAGGTGAGGTTTCAAATGGTGACATGAAAATGGCGGCAGTGGCGGCAAGAATTAAGATTGGTGTTGTACTCGTACATCGTAATCCCTAGAAGAGGTGTCAAAGAAAGCCGTAAACGTAACAGGGACCTTGAAACTTTTGAATATCAGTCAATCATCGTCTTCATCTAACGTTTCACGCTGATTGCAAAGGCTTTTCTCGAGGTACTAAGATCTCCGGCCAGATTCCATAAACTAACGTTATATATTTGTCCATTATATCGGAAACTTATAAACACATCTCTCGCTACATATACAATTACAACATACTCTTCGGCATCTGCTTCATCGCCTGTCTAACTCCAAGATCACCCAGGACCTCCTCTGCGCCACCCAGAATAGCATCGAACTTATACGTCCTGTGGAACGCCTCGACCACCCTGCCCATTCCCGTCTGTGTCAACCCTCTACCACCGAAAATTTGCACCGCCTCATCGGCAATCTCGTGCGCACTCCTCGTGGCAAACATCTTGAGCAGGCCAATCGGGCCAGCCAAGTGCTTGGCCTGCTCCGAATATGGCATCTTGGTCATCTGGAACGTGATATTCTCCAACCAGGCCTGGTTGGCCTCGACGTGGGCAATCATCTTCGCGAGCTTCGCGCGCACAACGGCCTGCTCATTGAGCTTCTTGCCGAAGACGACACGCTGCGCCGCCCACTTCATGCACTCCTCCGTCACGGTACGCGACCATCTGAGGACGGAGTTGACCATCATCCAGCGCTCGTGGTTGAAGTTGGACAGGATGACATGGATACCCTTGTTCTCGACGCCGAGGAGGTTCTCGACGGGCACCTTGACGTTGTCGAAGGTGATGAAGGTGGTTCCTGCGGCGGCGGAGTAGGTGGTCTTGATGGCCTTTGTCTCGACGCCCGGGCCGCGCTCGATGAGTAGTACGGAGAGACCCTTGTCGGTCTTGACGCCGGTGACAAAGTAGTCCGACCACACGCCGTTGGTGATCCACTTCTTCGTGCCATTGACGATGTAATGCTTTCCATCTGGAGTCTTGAAGGCGGTGGTGCGGATACCGGCAACATCTGAGCCAGCGAAGGCCTCGGTGATCGCGAGGGAGATCTTCTTCTTGCCGCTGAAGCACTCTTGTGCAATCTTGTTCTTCCACTCCTCGTTATTGGCGAAGTTAATAACGGCTGTTAAACTAATCGTCATGCCTGCCATGTTGCCATCTTGGAACCCTCTCTGGAACGGTCTGGCCAGCTCCTGTCCGACGATGGAGTCGTGGAAGTAGTCAAACTCGTCGCCCATCATAACCCCACCAAGTAACTTAACACCGTGCATGTGCTTTCCAGGACCTATACGCATGTGGAGAATACCAGCTTCTGACATACGGTTGATGAGCTCCTGGCTAATGTGTGCGCCAGTCCGCTCAGACTCTTCGGCTTCGGGGGTGACGTATTTGTCTACAAACTCCCGAATCGCCTTTTGAAGCCTACGATGCGAATCATTGTAGTAAGGACTGTGGAACTCGGGTCTCAACCATGTCGGCTCGCCATATGGGACAAGGCTTAGGTCGCCTGCTTTTTTCTCAATAACTTCTGGCTTCTCATTCTCGAGGGTGCCGATGCAAAGGTCGGAGTATTTCTGGAGGACCTCTTGGCGATGGAGGTTGTAGAACGCCTCTGTTGCGTCCTGGCCGGCGACTTGCTTGAGGACGAACTCGCCGCCGGGATGGGCGTCGACGAAGTCGGTCAGATCATAGACCTTGTGGTCGATGATGATCCAGGTAGAGTCCTCGGTGGTATGTTTCGCCACCTCGGCACGAGTGAGGTTATTTGAAGACATTGCTATAATGAACGATATGTATTCGAAGGTTTGAAGGAATGGAAAGGGGATGGAAAGAAAGGAGAAATATATAGCAGTGATAAAACAACAAGCCGAAGCTGTTGGAGTACCTTACAGGTGAAGGTGGTTGGTGCGAACATTGACGATTATGGTTGTTCCCAGGATTAGACGGCAAAGGACCGAGGCATAACTGACCAATAGAAACACAACGATTTCAAACTCACATGCCCCGCAAAGTCACGTGCATTACAACGTTTTGGGACGCGCTTTGGGTCGCGTCTCAGAAGGGCCATCAACCTCGAACTTATCGAAACAGTGAAATAACAACTTAAGAGCCAACAAATACATCACACTCCCCAGTCACCCGGTGTCTCACAAGGCTACCTAGCCTGCATAAACCACAATGTCCGCCGCTCCAGCTCCCACGATCCTCGACCTAAAACTCGCATTCCTGCGCTCTCAAATCCAAGCTCTCTCCGCCCCACTGAGAATCCCAGTGAACTACCAACCCCCCGATGAAGACCAAGCCATCCGCCAACGAGCCATAGATGACGCCCTCTTCCAGCTCAACGCCCGGATCCAAGAGCACGCCAAACTCGTCTATTCCGCGCCGGCACAGCGCCATGTCGCCGAGCAGGTGGACGCATTGTACTGGATGGCTGGCGAGCGCGACGTCAGCGGGGAGCTTGCGCGGGGTCAATTGGAGCTAGGGACAGATTTTGGTATGGATGCGCTGTGGACTGGAATAGGATTCGCCTTTTGCTAACAGTTCGCAGTGGCGGATGTCAATATCACGAGTCTCCCAGATGCGTGGGAGGATGAAGAGGAGGTTGCGCAGCGCCCAGAGGAAGCCCAGCGGTATGTGGAGTTAGCTGCGCACATCAAGGGGCTCAATGATAGGCGGACGGGGTTGAGAGAGAAGGTTGCAAGGTATAAAGCATTGAAGGGGGTGCTGGAACCGTTTGAGAACTCGAAGGAAGATGTTCAGGGGAACCTGTGCACGAGGGATGGGGAGGTGGAGGCTGAGTTGCAGAAGATGGGGATGCTGATGGCGCGGGTCAAGGGCAGGCTCGAGGGACTGGAAACGTCACAGAACCAGGGTGGTGAGGAGATGGACCTTGACTTCTTGGATCAGGAGAAGAAGGCGGATCTACTTCTGAATGATATATTGCGGTAATAGGCCATCCTTGATGCTGAAGTTTTCATATGACGAAAATCATCTGAAGATAATACTACGATACCCCATTCATTTTATTTCATGGTAGATCTCAAGCAAGCGTGACCCTAAGCCTGATGCAAGGGCCGACTATATAGGCCCCCGTTGGGCGCGAGTATCCTCAAGCCAACAATGGCGGCGCTACCACACCCAGGCTGATGCGGGTGTTGTGTGCTGCGGTGGGCAACAGGCTTGTTGGGTGAAATGATGCTAGCGGTGTTGTCGCTACGATGCTGCCGTCGAGGCCCTGTCACCGTCGCTGGGTATGTCGCTGGGTATTCTTGCTATGTGTTCCAATTACCGAGAAATGCTGTCAATTTGTCAGGGGTTCGCTCAATGATGGCGGGCTTTCGCATCATGCGCTGAGACTGGATGGGCTGGCCCTGCACCACTGGCAGGATGGATACCTGGGAACGCTGTACCATCGTCTTGCCAATTATTGGCTTCATCGTTGCAGCAACGTGGGACATGTATGTCATTCATACTTCATACCCGCCTAGTCCTTCTTCACATGCCTCCTTTTGAACACTCGAAATCGCAAGCCACCATCGGGTCAGATATTTAGCCGCACTGTCAAATAGCAAATGAGATCCAATACGATTACAATTGATTGCCCCTTAAAAAAATAACTTAAATAGCTTAAATGAGATAACCACCACTTCCCATAGAGCTTTAGTATCAAGCTCAGCTAGGGTTAGCACAAAATAATCATAATAATCATGACTAACGTATTTCACAAGCGAACCGGTACTCGGTGGTTTGTCCACCTACTCGCTTCGCTCGTAAGGTGGCGTGGCGAAAGCGAGTTGGGTATGCGAAAGCAAGTTTGAGTATGCCACGTCGCCTCATGAAAACCACTTCAATACTACCAATTCATGAACAATACTACCAATATGCCTCCAACCCATGGTTCTGAATATAAATCTCGCATTGCAGAAGCCGTGCAGTTCTTTTTAAAGCCTCCACAAGCCCATACAATCTCCTGGGTCGCTACAAAATTCGACATTAAGTAACTCTATGATGATGTAATGGTGGGTGCACCAGATGTGAGAATCTAGCCACCCAAGGAAGGGATGATTTTACTAAGACAACACACTGTCTTAGGAAACAGAGCCAAAGGGTCGTAGCTTAGACTATTCCACAACGCAGCAATCAGGTGTGTGATGTAGTGAAGTGGTTTAGACAAGTTGTAACAAATGTTGAGTCTGAGAACTCGGGGGTAAGTCAGAGGTTAGCACCTCACTGACTTTTCAGAAACAAAGAATAACAAGATCAATGCTTGGAAGCTTGTAAAAGACATAGAAGTATGTGCTAGTCGATTTACTGTATTGCCTGCTTGCCCTTTCTTAAGGAAAGGGCAATCCTATTTATGCCAAAGGAGTGTAGTTCTCTCATTTTCCATGACTTTCCATGACTAACCAGGCTTGGTAAATGTATTAGAAATCAAGTGCGACCCACAACTAGCTTGCTAATCATGTAGTGAACGTAAGAGAATCCCATAGAACCATCTCTTGGGTTCCTAGCCTATAGGAAGTGAAAAGGAGGTCCAAGGTCAGAGTACCTATAGATAAATTATGTCATAACTTAACCAATCTTGTGGGTAACTAAGGAGCGATGACGTGTAATGAATCATAGAGGGTTGTAGAAGCTTCTAGAGCTATCGTTCATGTTCCTAGGCCTCTAGTTGGTAGAGATATGCCATGTGGTAGTATTGGCCCACCCCCTTAAGGAGGAGATTTTCTTAATAACTTGTTCAATGAGTGTTCAAATGATATGCCGTGATGTATGTAGCATAAACAGATGTAGTAGAAGAGTTTGCAGCAATCGTTGAGTAGTATTGCTTCTGTTGTTGGTGTGATAAGCCAAGATATGTATGGTGACTTGTAGGTTTGAGGAGGAGATTTCTAAGTTTGCTCTTGAGTTTGATAGCAAACTGAGTGCAACGAATGTCAGTATGACATGTAGCATAAACAGATGTAGTAGAAGAGTTTGCAGCAATCGTTGAGTAGTATTGCTCTTGTTGTTGGTGTGATAAGCCAAGATATCTATGGTGACTTGTAGGTTTGAGGAGCAGATTTCTAAGTTTGCTCTTGAGTTTGATAGCAAACTGAGTGCAACGAATGTCAGTATGACAGATGACACATATCGAAGTCGACATCTACAACGCCCAAGCCATATGGAGGACAAAACCGAGTATTGACTCCTGCACAAGATGCTGCCATTTGCCAATTTATATATGACCAACTCGAGCGTAGTATTCCTGCAAATTGGAGTACGCTACTACAAGCTGTCGCAGACTTGCGACCAGGCAAAGAGCTGCCCTCTCGATGCTGGCTTCAACAGTTCCTTAAAGCCCACCCTGAATTCCACTCTATTCGTACGAAGGCATTAAATACTCAGCAAAAGCAAGCCCAGAATCAGTCAAATTTCGAGGACTTCTTTATGAAGTATAATGCGAGTATTACAAAATATACTGTAGACTGATAGCATCCAATCATGTAACCTGTCTCATCAAAGTTCCAGAGATTGTATGGCTTGATATTATATTTTGTACCAGTCGGAGTAAAGCAGGTAAGTTAACTCTATTCTAAAGAGTTCAATACTAATGTACAAAGTGGATTGTAGATAATCCTGATAATCGACTCTCTGTTACTGTCATCGAAGCTATAAATGCTATATGCACTTCCTGAGTGTATTATATTACCAGGAAAGCTTCATATGGAGTCATGGTATGATAATCTTGAGCCTGACGCTCTTGTAATTGTTAATGACAGTGGATATACAAATGATGCAGTTGGAATTCAATATCTACACCACTTTATTCAACATTCAGCAGTGTACTCATCATGTAATGAGACTCGACTATTGATAGTTGACGATTCACATAAAACTGAGCAGTTTATCACAATAGCAGAAGAATACAATGTTATTCTATGTGCGCTTCCACCTCATACAACACATCTGCTTCAGCTGCTTGATGTTAAAGTTTTCCAACAGTGCAAGCACTTCCATCAAAAGGCTCTTGATAAAGCAGTCCGGAGTTTTGATTATGAGTATAAACTTCGAACATTCCTCTCTTGTCATGACACTCCTTCGATATTTCTGTCATGACCCTTCCATTCGCTTTAGTCTCTAGTACTTATTTCACTATGTCATTCACTTCACCTGCTTTGCTCACTTTGCTCACTTCGCTTCACTTGCTGACCTAGATCAGCCCAAATGTTGACTACTGGCTTAGGCTCTCTTGTTATTGGCTCACTTCACTAGGGCTCACTTAGCTAGGGTTTGGTTAATTAGTGCCTTCGCTTATTTGGCACTAGGGATTTTTACTGTTGTATAAGCACTTATTGCTCATGTCTCTTATTGATCTTTAGCTAGCAAATGATACACTACTTGGCCTTCTTGCAATTCCTCCTGCTTCGACTTACTTTGCATTCCCTTACTTCGAGTCGAACCACTTGGCCAACCTGTTAGTCTCAGCACTTGACCCCTGTGGTATAAAGTATATGCTTTGGAGCCTGAACTACTATATCTTGTCCTACTGCTTCGAGTATCGAAGTCTTCACATTATACTTCGGATACTTCTGCAGACTCAAAGGTCAGCCTCGGTTCGAACTGTCCTTACATCTCTGATCTACCACATATTCGCAACCAGTCATTGACTGTAAAGACTATACAGTCAGGGTGGAGAGAAGCTGGACTTTTGTAAGGACAGTTCGAACCGAGGCTGTAAGGATGCCTCCTTACTCGGGGTAGTTACGGCCGTCACGTGGCGTCATCGAGACTCGGGGCCGTTACGGGTCAGTCGCGACTGACAGCCTTAGGCACATAACGTAAGGAAGCCTTAGGCAAACAGGGAGCTAGCTGAGTCGGAGCGGTTTCGGGTATTTTAAGGGAACAGTCATACAGGGTTACACCTTCATCTTTTTTGTATCCTTCGTAGTAGACCTATAGGATTGCACCGACTCATATCCGACTCGCACTCCCATATGCCACTTCTCGTGATACGGTGCCCTGCGTCCTTACATTATACAAAAAAGATCACGCCTGCCGGGGACGGCCGTACTCAAAGAATATCCCACACTGGAACGACTCAGGAGAACTACCGTTACACCACCGACCGCGACTCGGAAACTGCGACGGAGCTGAGACCTGACGACTTCAAATAGCCGTGACCCCAGAGAACTCACGGACGACCAGTGGATCAGGGTTTGATCCTGCAGAGCAAGCTGGTAAAGTCGTCGACGCGTTGGCGCCGAATAGGATACGAGATCCTTAAGAACCCCCTCAAGCACAGAGGTAATTGTGAACAAGAGTGTTGATAGCTACGAGCTACCGGAAGTCAAACTCTTTCGTATCGACACCGATACACCCCCGAACCAACATGAGGAAAATGACCTCAAACATTCCCCAAGACAATGATTGTCAACCGTCACGAATGTCAACGAGACAAACCACTGCTGCAGCTGGGACTGCTGCACCCACCGAAGACATACCGGATCGAATGGCAAACCTCGAGATCCAGATGCAGGAGATCAAGGAAATGATAGCCAACCTAGCGGCAACCCAGACCAGGATCCCGTCCACGCCACCGGTGGACACCGTCGAAGTTGAGAAGCGACGAACTTCCCCTATGCGAAACACCCCCGAGACAGTTCAGTTGCCGCCTCTTCGAAACACTCGTTCTCCATCGATTCCGAGGATGTATTCCGAAGACCCTCCGAATCGCTACAAGAAATCCACCATCTCTGAGAAGATTACGCCGCTCAGCGATGGGATAGAACATACCTTTATGCAATGGAGCGCGTCCATTCGGGACCGCCTCGTAGTCAATGAGGATAACTCCCTACCGACGTCTCGAGAAGAGCGTTGATATGGGGGACTACGACTGGCCTGGCAAAGAAATACCTCGAACCCCAATACCTATCCGCGACACACGGGTTTCGGAGTGCCGACGAGAT